AGACTCATCAACAAAACACTGAACAAACTTAGGAAATAAAACGTAGCCAATGAGAAGCTAGCCAAAGACTTAAGAACCAACGAGAATTTCCCTCCTCAATTCTACGGACTACATAAAGCACAGAAACCTAATATACCTTTAAGGCCTATCGTCAGTGCTATATCAACTAGTAACATTCTTGGTACCTGTTTCATCTCCACTATGAGGGAATACCGAATATCACATTCACAACTCAACAGATTTCATAGAACAACTCAAAAAGCCACACATCAGATCTCAGGATATTCTAGTCAGTTTTGACGTCACAGACCTATTTACTAATGTTCCGGCCTCAGAAACCCTTCGTATCACCAGACAACGACTGCTGAATGACAGCTTACTGCCACATAGAACCAGCATGAAGATTGATGCCATCATGGAACTATCGACTATTTCCCTACAATCAACTTAGTTCCAATAAAACGAGGAATTCTACAAACAAACAGATGGTCTAGCCATGGGATCACCACTCTCTCCAATCCTAGCAGACATTTTCATGGAAGACTTTGAAGAAAGAGCCCTCCCATCCACACATATAAAACCAAGTTTCTACAGACGTTATGTTGATGACAATTTCGTTATCTGGCTCCATGGTCGTGAAAACCTAACAGCCTTCTTACAACACCTTAATGCTGCAGACAAGAATATTCACCTCACCATGGAAATAGAGGAACAAAATAGCTTATCATTTATTGACATACTGATCAACAGACAAGAGGGAAAAATCATCACAACTGTATACAGAAAACCCACCGACATGAACAGATACCTATACTTCCAGTTCTATCACCTAAACTCGATAAAACGTGGTATAATCCAATGCCTAAACAAGTGAGCAGAAAACATTTGCGATAACACATCCATCGAAACAGAATGCCAAAACATCATACAGTGTTTTAAACACCTCTTCCTTCATCAAGAACTTCCTGAAGAAGACCACAACAGAAAAGAAAAATAAAGAAACCACTACAACCATATACCTCCCATACCTGAAAAACTCAAACGAAAAGCTAAGAAATTCAACATAGACGTCCGATGGAAATCTTACAAAACACTAAGATCCATTCTGGTGAAGAACAAACAGAAACCTACCAACAAAAAACAGAAAAACGTCATTTACGAAATTTCGTGTTCCTGCAACAAAACATACAATGGAGAAACGAGAAGAAGACTCACGACAATAATAAAGGAACATAAAGACAGTACAAAACTCGTGAAAACACAAAATTCAGTCATTGCTGAACATGCCATGTCAATTGGACACAACATAAACTGGGAAAAAGCTAGAATCATTGACACAGACAAATTTTGGAAGACAAGAAAAATTAAAGAATCGTTTTACATTAACATAATAAAACCTTCACTAAACAGAGATTCAGGATTAGAGGTGAGTAAACTATGGCTACCATTGGTTGAGGCTACAGGAAGTCTCTCTTCCAATCAGAAATGTGTCTTAACCAACCAATCATAACATGCTCTCCACAATCCACTAGAACGCAATAAAGACCAAACTACACCACACATACACTGACATGAAGTTGAAAGGCGGAAGACTTTTGAAACGTCATCCTCTACATTTGTAGGTTTCTACAACAGGCAGTTGCTGTTCATTTGAAACATAGATTCATTATGAATACTCTGCCTAAACAACCTATCAAAGATTATCTAAGTTCTTGTTTTCTACATAACTTGAAAAGGAGATGTTTTATAATTAATGAGAATTTAACAAGTTCCAGCCCACGATATTATCCAAGTTCTTGTTTTCTACATAGCTTGTAAAGGAGGTGTTTTAAAATTAACGAGAATTTAATATGTTCTGGTCCATTATAATATCTAAGTTCTTGTTTTCTACATAGCTTGAAAAGGAGATGTTTTATAATTAATGAGAATTTAACAAGTTCCAGCCCACAATATTATCCAAGTTCTTGTTTTCTACATAGCTTGTAAAGGAGATGTTTTATAATTAATGAGAATTTAATATGTTCTAGTCCACAATATTATCCAAGTTCTTGTTTTCTACATAGCTTGTGAAGGAGATGGTTAGTGTTAATAAGTTTCACAATTGCCAGTCTGCAATGATATTTAAGTTCGTCTGCTGGATACATGACAAAGAAGTAGTTATTGAGAGTTTCATAAATTTCAGTCCATGATGATATCTAAGATGTTGTTTAAAATACACTACACAAAATCACAAACAGAAATATTCTACAAAACAAAAGCACCAAACAAAAATGTATAACTAAAGTTCTGTATAAAATATTACAAACTAGATTTTGCAACACAAAAATAACCTACAACTAAAAGAAAACTAAAATAATAGCTGCCCTACATTACACAAATGTATACACAACAAGAGCCACACAAGTTAAAGTTACAATATATTGTTACAGTTCACTAGAACAAAAACAAGTACAGAGCTCCACAGTCCATTACAGAAAAGTAAAAAAAAACATGTGTAAGACAACAGCTACAGTCCACAAAGTGAAATAAACAAACACAAGTGTACAGAGGATTAATCCCACTATATTTGACTGAAACAAACACAAGTGTACAGAGGGTTAATCTCACTTTAGTTGACTGAAACAAACAAGTGTACAGAGGGTTAATCTCACTTTACTTGACTGAAACAAATAAGTGTACAGAGGGTTAATCTCACTTTACTTGACTGAAACAAA